TTCTAGAGAAGCAAGAGTTAAAAATCCCAAGATTGGTTTCAGCGTTCTTTACAGGAGATGGAAGCCTGATTAGGAAAGAGATTAGGTAGCACTCATCAATCTTAAAGTGCCTCCTTAAAAGACTACCAAAAAATGCAATCCCTTCAGAGCGGGCCAGAATAAGATTATTCAGCAGGAGGAATCAGTATTCAGGGCTGTTCGTTGCAGAATCAAAACATGCTGTGAAGAAGTTTTTAATATTCCTAACACCAGTTCTAAAAGCAAGAAATAGTAACTCTTTAGACTGGCAGAAAGAAAAAAAGTTAACTTTAGGAACAAAGGAAAAGTTATTAGATTTCCCTTTACGGATCCTAAGCAACTTTGAGAGATGATGTTTTTCTTTTTCTTTCAGATTCTGTTTTCCAAAGAGATTCTGAAGAAGGAAAGGCAGATTGACTTTTATGCAGATCTGCAGATGCAGCATCAGAATCTTTAATATCTAGGGCTAGCATTTTAGCTTTCTTTAGACAGTGAGTGAAGAGCTACTCTCAGTAGTAAACACAGGCACCAACTCCGTGGGTGCTCCGGGCTGAAGCACCCATGGAAAAAAAATAGTGGGTGCTCAGCACCCACTAGCCAATCAGCTGTTTGGCAGCAGGCGAAAGATGCTGGGGGAGGAGGCAGAGCAGGGATGGGAAGAGGTGGAGTGAGGCCTTGGGGAAGGGGCAGAGTAGGGGTGGGGCCTCGGGGCAAGGCGGAGCCGGGGTGGAGCACCCACCTGGAAAAATGAAAGTCAGCACCTGTGGTTGTGAAGGAATATCTTTTAGATTTTTACTTTATACGCTTTGGAGGGGGGTTTTTTGTTTATTTTTTTAAATATACGTTTCCTGGTGGAAAACCAAGATAAGAGGGGGACTAACACTCTTTTGCTTGTATTTTAAGGGTGAAAAGCCACTGACTTCAATGGGGCCAGATTTCACCAAAGCTCTTTAGGCCAGGGAGCATTTCTTTCTATTCATCTGTACAGCGCTTAGCACACTGGGAACCCTTTCGTGACCAGGGCCAATGAGCATTACCTGAATATAAATAGTAAAGATTAAAAGTATTAAATAAAAATCCAATACATTTTTCCAATCAACGCTGTTTAAATATTGACTGCCTTCAGGATGTAAATCTTGGAAATGAGGAAAGAGGGAAAAGGGTGAGTTTGTTCATTTTGAGAGAAGAAGATTTGTTTTCACTTAAACAAGGTCCTCAGATTTCTGTGGAGAGGCAGGATATATGGAGTGGAGGTAATTACATACATCCCAGTTAGGATCTTCTTTCCTGGGAGAAGTACAACAAAGGTGGACCACTACAGATATAAATGGGAAGGGGCAAGCGGCCCACAGAACAACCTTTACTTAAACCATATTCTTCCTTTAGAGGAAGGCCAGCCATATTGAAACCAAATTCAGAAATAATTCCAGCCAAGAAAGGATGGTAACAAAAACAAAAAACACCACACCAAAATGACCTTAGAATGCAGGAGGCAAGCTGATGTAGGAACTAGCAAGCTGCTCTTACCTGCAGTATCAGGGGTCCCGGGAACTATTAATGGCAGACTGAGACCAAGTCCTACTACAGGGGTCGGCAACCTCTGTCACACGGCTCTCCAGGGTAAGCACCCTGGCGGGCCGGGCCAGTTTGTTTACCTGCCGCGTCGGCAGGTTTGGCCGATCGCAGCTCCCACTGTCTGCGGTTCGCCGTCACAGGCCAATGGGGGTGGCGGGAAGCCACGGCCAGCACATCCCTCGCCCGCACCGCTTCCCGCATCCCCCATTGGCCTGGGACGGCGAACCGTCATGGATGTACTGGCCCTCCTCCCTCTTAAAGGGCCAGCGTCACCCTGTGACTGGCTTGTTGAAGAAGTGTATTTTAAGGAAGGATTTGAAGGGGATTAATTCAGGAAAGGTGTTCCAGGCACAGGTGTCCACATGAAAAAAATCAACAGGACTTTTCCCATGCATACTCATTCTAGAAGAGAAGCTGCCATTTCATAAGCTGAACTAAGACATGTAAAATACTAATATTTGTTATATATGCTTTCATAACAGTAACTACATCAGTGAACTCACTGGCATACACATTATATACACATTTGTCTACCTTACAGTATTTAGTCCATACCAGAAAAAACTATTATTTTCAATATAAGTAAATGAATGTGACAGCGTATTAATTATTTATTAAGTGCTGGCAGTATGCCCAATACACAGTCTCTGTCCCAAAGACCTAACAAACAATGTAAAATACAAGACATCAAATTAATATACACTAGAATGAACAACAATTTGATAGAATAGGTAGAACAATTTACTGAATGACTTTTGAACAATACTACAATACATTTTAAGATGGGGTGAGTTAAACACACTGTGGCATCCTTCCAAATCACAGACCTTCAGAGCTAAGGAGGGTGGTTGTCTTTGCACAGTCTTTAATGGGGAATTTGTGTAATTTATCATTACAGATAAAAGCAAGCAGTTGTCTCATTGGGTTCAACACTATTCAGAGCTATACGCACAAGAAAGAAACATCACCAGCAAATCATTGGACCAAATACCAACTCGAGAGGGCATGCCAGAGCTAGATGTGGAGCCCACTATAGAAGAGCTAACCAAGGCCATTGATTTGCTATCGAGTGGCAAAGCTTCTGGAAAAGATGGCATCCCAGAGGAAATCCTCAAGTGCGGGAAAGCTGATTACCATATCTTCATCAGCTGTTACTTAAATGCTGGAAAGAGGGTTAGGTACCACAAGAGGTGTGTGACACAAACATCATCACTTTGTATAAAAATAAAGGCCAAAAGGGCAACTGCAACAACTACAGGGGCATCTCGCTACTAAGTGTAGTGGGAAAAGCTTTCGCAAAAAAGTCATCTTAGTGCACCTACAACAGCCGGCGAATTGTGTCTACCCTGAATCACAGTGCAGATTCAGGGCTGGAAGATCAACAATAGACATGATATTTTCTCTGCATCAACTCCAAGAAAAGTGCAGAGAGCAAAACCAATCATTGTACATTGCCTTTGTGGACCTAACCAAAGCATTCGACACAGTCATTAGAGCAGGCTTATTTGCAATACTAGAAAAGACAGAATGCCCACCAACCCTGTCAAGTCTTATACATTCATTCCACAACAACATGAGAGCAACCGTCCAGTTTGACGGGTCCACTTCGGACAGCATTGAGATGAAAAGTGGAGTGAAACAAGGATCTGTTCTTGCCCCTACAGTCTTTGGAAACTTCTTCTCGGTACTTTTGAACTGTGCGTTTAAGGACATGAAAGATGGAGTGTATCTCCACACAAGATCAGATAGGAAACTCTTCAACCTGTCCTGATTTAAGTCAAAGACCAAAGTCAAAAAGGTGCTAATCAGGGACCTTCTATTCGCTGATGATGCTGCCCTCATAGCCCACAATGAAGATCTACAACAAGAACTCATGGACCACCTTTCAAATGCCTGTCAGGCATTTGCACCCACCATCAGCATCAAGAAAATGGTTGTATTAGGACAGGGGGTTCCACAAGATCCTTCAATTACCTTAAATGCAAACCAGCTAGATGTAGTCCAGAAGTTCAGCTATTTAGGTTCTACAGTGACCACCAACCTCTCACTAGATGAAGAGCTAAACATTCGCACTGGAAAGGCTGCCTCCACCTTTAGCAAACTAACTAAAAGAGCATGGTACAACTCAAAGCTTACCATCAAGACCAAAATGCTAGTGTACCAAGCTTGGGTCCTCAGCACTCTGATGTATGTTGGGGAAACATGAACAACTTATGCTCATAAGGAGAAATGGTTAAACAGTTTCCTTCCACCTACATTGTTTACGCCGCATACTCAACATCAAATGGCAGGATAAAGTCACCAATGCAGAGGTTCTTCAAAGGGCAAAATTATTAAGTGTGACAGCCCTACTCAAGCAAAGATCACTGTGCTGGCTGGGCCATCTGAATAGGTTGGAAGACAGATGCATACCCAAGGACATGCTATACAGGGAGCTATCAGAGGGAACAAGAACAACAGGACGTCCCAAGCTTCGCTATAAAGACACATGCAAGCAAGATATGAAGGAATTTGGAACTGATCCTGACCAATGGGAAATCCTGACAAGTGATCATAACAAGTGGCGCCATCGTCTCCATCAGGGTATCAAAGTTCATGACAGAAGCTAGCTCCTACAGTTTGAAAAGAAAAGAGCCCGTAGGAAGCAAGCAGTTCCCAACCAAAATACAAACATTGCAATAACAGCCAAAGATCATGCAAATCTTGGATTGGACTATTCAAGTCACATGAGACATTGCAAACAATCTACATCAGAGGCTGCAATTCCCACATCTCTCGCAGATGAAAGGATGCCAATTTGATGTGGAATTTACTTGTAAAACATCATGAATAAATCAAACAAGGAAAGTAAAATATTTTCTCTGTGTTCAAGTTCCTCTTTTGATCTATCTACCTATATTCCTCTTATTCTCCTGCATGTTCACTTAGTTCCTTCAGCTCTAGACTTCTGCCTGCTCCTTTCACCATCCTGTCAGTTTTTTCCATGCTGGATAATAAATCTTTCTTGTCTGGAAATGCCATTACCTGGGACAGCCTCTTTATTCTTTTGCACCCATTCCACTACCTGACTCTTCAAAATCCCACTTGATTAGCCATAAATGAAATGACAAATACCTCCTAAGCTTTTTTTCTAAATCATATTCAATTCTGTGAACCATTCTATTTTCCACATATCTTTATAACACTCATTGATTGACCACTGTACCCTACTTCAACCTTATTCTACTTTATCTATGGATGCTGCCATTATGAAATATGACATACATTCATTTTTATACCTAAACACTTATAATTAAAAGTTACCATTTTAAATGTACAAAGATTTTTAAAAATTGTATGGTAGACATATACGGCATAAACTAAAATGCTCTAGTTGAAAACAGACAGATAGATTGATGACAACCAACCTGTGCTTTCCTCATGTAAACTAAGGGTTCCTTCATGTGCTCAGGGGGTGCTGCAGGATGACAGGGTGAAGGAAACCTTAAGAAAACAAAATTATGTTTTGAATGTTAGATTATTATTAAATACATTGATGTCTTTTGCTCTTTGAACAAATTTTCTCAACTCCATAATTATTTTTAGAAGCAGTACAATATATGCAATAATAATTCTAAGCCCAAGGTCAAACCCCAACCTTAAAAAAAAAAAAAAAAAAGATCAGTATCAATAAGTGAAATCCCAGTTCCCATCTTTGCATTATAGGTATTCACACTCTTAATTAGAAAAGAAATAGCAAAGGGTACTGTAAATCTCTGGCATGGTTGAAATGTGCACATTCATAAACCCAAACATAATTTCTGTCTTTGGATAAGACAATGAACAATAATTTTGTGGATGGTAATCTAAACTTGAAAGATGGGATTTCTTATAAAAAGCAGTCTCTTATCTTACTCTTGTAGAGTACTTCAAGGACGTAAAATAAATATTCAAGGCTGTAGACAAGATTTTTTAACATAAATAGAACGTTTTGTAAAAACAACAGTTAATGACATCACAAATATTCATGAAAGAAATCAAATAATTTTTCATAAAAATTTAAAGCAGTATTACAGAATAAGATAATGTCTAAACAAAATTATTTTTTCTTTCCAGGAAACGGTATTTCTCAAAAAAACAAGTTCAGTCTGTAACTTGATTAGTTTTCACAACTGAACATGTCCAAAGTAACTGCAGAATTTTGGAGTGCCAATCTCAGCAAGCTTGAATCTCTAGCCACAAATTGCATAGCAATAAAAACAGGGGTCGGCAATGTTGGCACGCGGCTCGCTAGGGTAAGCACCCTGGTGGGCCGGGCCAGTTTTATTTACCTGCTGACGCGGCAAGTTCGGCCGATCGCGGCCCGCACTGGCCGCGGTTCGCCGTCCTGGGCCAATGGGGGCGGTGAGAAGCGGCGCAGGCGAGCGATGTGCTGGCCGCGGCTTCTCGCCGCCCCTATTGGCCCGGGACGGTGAACCGCGGCCAGTGGGGGCCGCGATCGGCCGAACCTGCCGCGTCAGCAGGTAAATAAAACTGGCCCGGCCCGCCAGGGTGCTTACCCTGGCGAGCCGCGTGCCAACATTGCCGACCCCTGAATAAAAACATGAAAGCCGCAGGAAGAGAAGTAGCTAGTGGAATGAAGAACTGTCTAGACAAAATGCAAAATATGAACACCAAGAGATGCACTTCAGAAGTAAGACAGACAAGCAAAGTCCTGCAAAAATATTAGTAAAGAAATAAAAAAGATGAAGTGTAGGGGTTTTAGAGAAATACCTTTTGTAGGTAAGAAAAAAAATGTCTGTGCTTTACATGGTAGAAAAAAATCAGTGACTGAATGTAACCCTGGGATCCCTTAGTTCAAACGGGCAGAGGGGACATGAGATGCACAGTGTTTTACAGAGATCCTCTGGATTGGATACATGCATGATTGTTCACCAAAGGTTAGCATGTGAGGTCTCTACTGAGAGCCATTAGCCCATTGGCTGTCATAATCATTGCAAAATGTATGTAAAGATAATATTTAAAGAATTATGTATCTAAAATTACACTCTTAAGATCTTGGAGATAAGACGTATAACCAGGAGGTGACATACCTCGGAAGTTTTCCTTTCAAGCAGAAGGTAACAGACATCTATCTCTTGTCTGAGCATTTGTGTATTGTATGCCTCCTAATGTATGCCTATTGGTTTACTAAGCCACAGGTAAAAGACGAGATTATAAAACCTACAAGAGAGGAAATCTACAGGAATAAACAAACAGCAGAGTGGGTATCTTGTCTATGAAGAAAGATAAAGGATTGTTCTGCTATATCTTGAAGTGCAAAGCGACAAACAGAATCCCTCACAAGGGAGGCAAATTGACAGCATGCTTGTGTCTCATGAAAGAAGGGTCACAGCTAACTTGGCTATAAAGTGCTGTAAGGATCTGGGGTGAGCAATACTCTACAAAACATGCGAGTACATTGTTAATTAAGTCTAGGCTCTAGAATGCAGATTATGATTTTATTTTATATGTACCCATTTGTTTCCTATACTTCTTCTTGCGACTACTACCACTTGAATCTCTACACTTTATTAAACTAACTTATATTTGATTTCACTATAAACTTATCTAAGGGCGGTGTGTGAAGTGAAGCAGTGATCTGAGATAGAACTGGTAAGCTGGGGTGTACTGTTTCTTTGGAAACAGTGAATCTGTGAATATTGAGTGTGTTCAGTGAACCAGAATCTGAATGGCTCCAGGGAGACATTCGGAGGGCTTGAGGGTTTGAGTGTGCCAATCGCTGACCTGCAAAGTGACAGTGCAGCCTGCGAGGCCTAGAGGGGAATGTTTGTTACCCACGGCTAGTGGAGTTGGGATCTGACCAACGGCAGGCCTAGTCAAAGCTTCTTCATGCTAAGGGCCAGGGAGTAGTGAGGCACCTCACAGTCCTAGGTACCTCCAGGAATCCTCACACTGAAACAAGAACGAGTTGGCTGAACAGAGGTTCAGATGTTTTCAAGTGTGATATAAGCAACAACCATCAAATTAGAGACTGACCTTGTACACTTGGAGAAATATCTATATCTTAATACTAGAGCTTTTATCGGGGCTCTAAAAGATGCAGGGGGAAAAAGAAAATCAAAACAAGTATGTCCTTTTTCTGCTGCTTTGTCCCTAAGTTAATGTAATCACAATTTGTATTACAGCAGTGTCTTGAGGTGCCCCAAACATCATAGGGTGCCAGTGTTCTAGGTAACGTAAATGCACTTAAGAGACGGTCCTTGCTCCAAAAAACATACACTCTAAAGGCAGACAAATGGTCTAAGAAAGGAAGTAATATTACCCCATTTTACAGATGGGGAGCTGAGGCACAGAAAGATCAAATGACTTGCCCAAGGGTAGAGCCGGGAATTGAACCAAGGTCTCCTGAGTCAGTGCCATAAGTAAAAGACCATTCTTTTTTTCAAAATTTCTAGTACTCTTATGGAAATAAACTCAACATCTTTTCATAAAAGCAAAACTGGAAAGCAAAAGACAAAAAAAAAAAAAAAAAAACCACTAGAAAAAAAATCCAAAAATTTTATTTACTTCCTTGTTTGCTCACCTGCGTGTTCAATGGCATCAGTATAGATCTTGCAGAAGATGATCTTGGTGAAGTTTTTAAGAGCCTAAGTGATTTAGGAGCCTACATCCCATTTTAAAAAGTAGCTTAAGCACTTAGCAGCCTAAATCTCATTGAAAGTCATCCATTTTGGGGGTAGAAAAAGAAATCTGTGATGCACTAAAAATATAGGAACATAATTATACCTCCCTAGTGTGACATATACATAACGGTCTTGCAAATAATGCAGACCTATCATACAGACAGATATAAATGTACATAAGCATATATAATAAAAATACTGAATAAAAACTCACACATTGAGTTCACTATAAACAGCATTCTGAAGCCTCTTTTCCCATCCTGTTTAAATAAAAAAAAAAGAAATTGACAATCATTTCATAAACAAGTAAACCTTTAAATATCTGAAGTACGACCCAAGGGAATCTTTCAGATAGACTAAAGTTTGTGGTCTTCAATTCAATTTCACATCTACCTAAGTTCTCTCTCTTTCAGGCTCTCCCTAAAGGCACAGGAGGCAAGAAATAACTACACTAACAGAAGGTTAAAACACAGAAGGCCAAAGTTAAAAGTTGCATGTGCTCCCTTATCTCTGCCCCCTAGTTCAAAGCTTTACAATATAGTCTTCAGTTCTAGAATCACACTTATTCTCATATAATATCATATATATTTTAAATGCAACCTTAGATACAATATAATACTTGTTTAATATGTTGATTATTGTATTCTTCAGGGCAAATGAACTCAAGCTCTTAGCATGTGTAGGGGACAATTTTCAAATTCAGAAAGTCGACGTAACAACTAGGTGGTCATCCATTTTGGATCTGGTGTTGACCAACACGGATGAATTAGTTGCAAACACAAAGGTGGTTGGGAACTTGGGAGGAAGTGATCATGATCTGATAGAATTCAAGATCCTAAGGAAAGGAGGACATGAGAACAGCAAAACAAGAACACTGGACTTCAAAAAGGCAGATTTCAATCAGCTCAGAGAAATAGCAGGCAAGGTCCCATGGAAAGACCAATTAGGAAGAAAAGGAGTTGAAGGGGGCTGGCAGTTCCTAAAACATGTAATACTAGAGGCTCAATATCAAGCTATTCCAATGCAGAGGAAAGAAAAGAAGAGCCATAGGAGGCCAGTGTGGCTGCACAAGGAGCTTTTTAGTTATCTAAAAAGCTAAAAGGATACATACAGGAAATGGAGGGAGGGACATGTCACCAAGGAAATATACATGGGAATAGTGGGACAAAATCAGGAAAGCTAAGGCAAGACTGAGTGAGAGCTGGCAAAAAAATGTTAGAGACAACAAGAAGGGGGTCTTCAAATATGTCAGACAAAACAAAGATCAGATTGGTGTGAGCCCACTGCTCAATGGAGAAGGTGAGCTGGTTTCGGAAGACGACAGAAAGGCAGAGCTGCTCACTGCGTACTTTGCTTCAGTCTTCATACAAAAAATAACAAGTGACTGGACAACAAGCAAAGTTATCATAGACAATAAAGGGGAAGGGATGCAGATCGAGATAAGTAAAGAACATGTCAGAGATCTTCTGAATTAATTCAAGTCAGTGGCCTGATGCTATTCACCCCAGGATGCTGAAATAATTAGCTGAAGAAATCTCAGAGCCACTGTGTCACGCGGCAAGTACGCCCCATCCCCTTTTGGGGCAGGGTGAGGGTAATTACTTCCCCGCGGCCGCATCTTTACTATCACCCCTTATCTTGGGGTAGCGTGACCTTGTCTTGGGGTAGTGGTAAAAGTCAATATGGCCACTCTCTCAGGGTTGTATGGCCTGATGGCCAGGGTCAGGACGACAGCCCCTTCCCACAAGGCTGCGGGACCCAATGGCTCAAGCCAGTATGATTACCCAGTTTGGCCGGGGTGTATGGCCTAGTGGTCAGAGTCAGTGTGGTCTCCTGTCTCAGCAAGACCGTGTGGCCTAGTGGCAAGAGTCAGTAAGGTTGTCCCCTCTCAGGGCTGCGTGTCCCAATGGCCAGAGTCAGGATAACTGCCCACTTCCGTAGGGCTGTGTGGCCTAGCAATCGGAGTCGGTAGGCTGCCCTGTTCAGCAGCGCTGTGTGGCCTAGTGACCAGAGTCTGTATAGCTACACTCTCTGGGGGCTTTGTGGCCCAATGGCCAGAGTCAGTATAATGGCCCTCTTCAGTAGGGAAACAGGCCGTCACCGGGGGGGGGGGGGGAGAGAAGGAGGGGAGCGGCCAGGTAGGGGGACCTGGGCCCTCCCTGCTTTACCAGGTCCCAGCTCAGAATCCTGTCAGTGGCAAGTATACCCACTGACACAGTGGGGAATCCACCTGAAACACGGTGACCCCACTCGGGGGGTGGGGGAGGGGTTGCATACTTGGAGGATAGAGCCAAACTTCAAAGAGATCTTGATAAACTGGAGAACTGAGCTATAGACAACAAAATTACATTTGTCTTTGTTGAATTTCACATAGGGACGAAAAACCAAATGCACAAATACAGAGTTCAGGATAACTGGCTTGGCAGCAACACTGCTGAGAAGGATCTGGGAGTTATGGTGGATCACAACTTCAGCATGAGTCAGCAATGCAATGCTCTTGCAAAAAAACCAAATGCAATTTTGGGTTGCATTAACAGAGGCATAGCATGCAAGTCATGGGAGGTGATAGTAGCACTCTACTCAGCGCTGGTTAGGCTTCAGCCAGAGTACTGTGTCCAATTTAGGTCACCAATGTATAGAGAGGATGTAGAGAAACTAGAAAGGATCCAGAAGCGAGCAAAGATGATCAAAGGGATGGAATGCAAGCCACATGAGCAAAGGCGGAAGAAACTGGGTATGTTTAAAAAAGACGCCATAAAAAAGATGGAGAAAAGTTGTTCTCTCTTTCCACAGACAGCAGGATAAGTGCCTATAAGTGCCTAAATGTCACCCCATTTTCAAAGGTGAGTTAGGTGCCTAAGTCACTTAGGCACTTTTGAAAATTTTATCCCTAGACTTGAAAAATGGTAAGTTCCCTTCTCTATAAGGTATGTATTTAAAGATTATTGAGTATGCAAGGGTTTTTTCCTTTTGCAGACAGACTTCTGGAAAATATTGTAGAATGTCAAGTTGTTTCTTAGAGAAATTCACAGGCATTGTGCATATTAACAGTGTATCTTAAAATGACTTCTCATATTACCTTTTCTTATTTGAACTATTTTATATTTTATGCAATTACCCTTAAACAGTCTTAATAAAGTTCAGATATTACTTTCTCCCATTAGTGAATGTATTTTAAAAAAAATATTGTTAAAGAGTTTCTTTAAAATGTATTTAGATTTTACAAAATCTCAATAAATCATTCCATGATTTGGTAGTTTTACAGAACTTAAACTACAAAACATTCAAAAATTAAATTCCACAAAATGGGCTTCCCATCCAGCTTTAGTAAATGAATAAGTTTAATAACTACATTTAATAAGTTCCCACCAAAATTTTTATTTACGACTATTATCTATTGAATCCCTACAACGGTGTCTTACATAACACAAAACAGACACAGTGCCTGCCTTGCAGAGTTTACAATGTACTTCAGCAAGGTACTTAAGCATGTGCCTAACTTCAGTGGGATTACTCACATGCGTAAAATTCACCATATGCTTAAGTTCCTTGCTGAATCAGAGACTAGAATCCCAATGTCTTGGGTGGACCATTATACATGCTGGATGTCTTAACGACTTCAGTGGGACTCCACTCGGACATAAGATTCTGCTCCTGCTGATGATCCCTTTGCAGTATCAGAACCTAAATGACCTGACATGGCAAGCAAAGACATGGCATGACAAACTTAGACAAATACTGAGGGTAGGGTAGTGTAACAGAAGTTACAGACACAAGTTTATAAGGTTCTTCAATGTATGACGTAATGATCCTTTTCTTCTTCCCCCCTGCACATACCAAAGACGTTAATAAAACCACACCAATTTTTTTTTTTTAGAGACTTTATGCTTGGAAAGTAGTGATTTGAGGTTGCATCTGAATGCACAGCTTTAATTTCGGCCATTTCTTCACTGGAGTAATTAATCATGCTGTCTTAACATGAGAAACAAAAATAGGACATTTAATTTTTGTTTTTAAAAGAAGACAGTACGAGCCTTAGTCTACAACGCTTTCAAGCTCTGCTGGTCTGAATTTTTTTAAAATAGAGCATGTACATTCCATAATCAGGAATTACAGAATATTACATCTATATTTATTCACAAAAAAAGTGTTTATACTTCTACAGATTCATCAACTGAATTGAATGAACTATTACAAACCTGAGGTCTTCAGAAAATCCTTAATATCTTCCTTTAGTGATTCAAGTTTAATTTCTGGTTTGTGTAGACTACCCTAATAAATAAAAAAAAATAAAAGCAGACAGGAGAGTAAGCTTTCTATTTTTAATTATGACATTAGAAACATTCTTATGACTACACAGGTAGAAGAAGAGGAATGCACAAGAGGAATGAGTTTCAACTGCTGTGGAAACCATGAACTTAAATTTTCTGAGTTCAGGGTATGTGGAATCTCAGCCATAACATTGCATTTGGAAGATAATAATGGGAAAGTCTGTCATACAAAGATGTAATACATGGGAACTGTGAGTTGTAGACTTGGATATTGTAAAAGAGAAAGGAGCATAAAAAGATGCAAGAACACAGGGGGGAAAATAAATTTTTTTTTTTAGGCTCCAGAAGAACTGAAATAACTTATTATAAAAATCCCCACAGCAACTCCATAATATAGCTCCCTTAAAAGAAAAAAATCCAGCGTTTGAATAAGATTTGTCCAGACTAAACAAATCCTTTAGGGGCTGGAGCAGACCACTACCAAACTTCCAGGCTAAACTTAAGCCTGGTCTACACACAAAATTGTACAACTAATGGTGTAATTTTATATAAACATAATTAAACCAATGCAACTTTTTGTGAGGACTCTCTTTTTCATAGATTCATAGATTCTAGGACTGGAAGGGACCTCGAGAGGTCATCGAGTCCAGTCCCCTGCCCTCATGGCAGGATCAAATACTGTCTAAACCTGATAGACATTTATCTAACCTACTCTTAAATATCTCCAGAGATGGAGATTCCACAACCTCCCTAGGCAATTTATTCCAGTGTTTAACCACCCTGACAGTTACGAACTTTTTCCTAATGTCCAACCTAAACCTCCCTTGCTGCAGTTTAAGCCCATTGTTTCTTGTTCTATCCTTAAAGGCTAAGGTGAACAAGTTTTCTCCCTCCTCCTTATGACACCCTTTTAGATACCTGAAAACTGCTATCATGTCCCCTTGTTTTCCAAACTAAACAAACCCAATTCTTTCAGCCTTCCTTCATAGGTCATGTTCTCAAGACCTTTAATCATTCTTGTTGCTCTTCTCTGGACCCTCTCCAATTTCTCCACATCTTTCTTGAAGCATGAAACTTGAAACTTTATATCAGTTTAAACCTGACATATTGATATAACTGGAACCTATAAATTTGGTGCCGGCTAAACCGATATAAGCAGTTTTAAACTGATATAAAAGAGTCCAAAACAAAAGTTGCATTGGTTTAATTAAACCAATTTAAGTTACACCATTACAATGTCTGTGTAGACAAAACTTCAATCTTAAAGACGAAACAGGCCTCTACATGAGCCAGTCTAACTTCAGTCCCAACCTAAGCCCCCAAAAGCTAGAGCTGGCTTCTACCTAAATGAAGTTTACAAACACTGGTAGATTACTGCATGGGCTGATTGGTTTTAGCCCTGGGGCATGGGCCCTAGGGCTAAAACCAATTTGGGTGCCCTGCCGGAGCACCGAAACTCTGGCCCCGACCCCTGCTCCTCCTCTCCCTCCTCCCTTCCCCTCAGCCCTGCTCCTCCTCTACCCCAAGGCCTCAACCCCTGGCCCAGCTGGAAGACAAAGCTTGAGGTAGGGTAAGCCTATTCCCCCTGCCCTCACACAGAGCTGGCCAAGCCGCTGGCCCTGCCCCATACGGAGCTGGTCCAAGAGGGACCCCCTCCCCCCATACAGTGCAGAGCTGACCCGATCCTCTCTCGTTTCCCCCCCTGCACAGGGCTGGCCCAAGCCCCACTGCTCACCACCCAACAAACCCCACCACTCACCCCCCAGACCCTTTTTGGCAAAATTGAGCATTTGTCCCGTTTGCGCTTGCCAGCTGGCAACAATAAACAGGACAAAGGCCCAGTTTTGCCAAAAAAAGTCAGAACATCTGAGGCCAAAATGGGACATATTATCACACTAGGCCGGGGTCCCCAAACTTTTTTGGTTGTGCCCCCTCTAACCCGGTCCACACCCCTCCCCCGGGAGCCAGGACCAGGAGTGGGGCCAGATTTGGGGGCTGGAGCAGCAGTCAGGGGCCGGGAGCGGGGCCATGGCTGCAGCTGCGGCCGGGAGCAAAGCCACAGTTGGGGCTACGGGCAGGGCAGAGCTGGGCCCCACAGCGCCCCTGAACATTGCTCCGTGCCCCCTAGGAGGACGTGCCCCACAGTTTGGGGACCACTGCCCTAGGCTGTGGTAAGAGCCACCCAGGGAGCCTGGGTAACCGTGAAGAGCCCTAGACCCTCCACTTGCTGTGGGCAGGTGGCTGTGGTGTCCAAGAGCAGCCCCTAGCATGTCCCTACCCTCATGGCACGCCACCCAGGACTCCCCCAGTGGCCAGGGTTTCCTGGGCAGCTCTTACCACAGCCCGGCTTCCAGCCAGGATAGGGGGCGGGACCGTGGAGGGCCCAAATGTTCTTTGTACCCAGAGCCCCAGTAAATCTTAATCTGCCTCTGTTTACAAATCAACAATCTGTTTACAAACTAACAATATGTTAGCTCCCGCCCTAGTAGGATCTACCCAATCACCACTGCATCTGAGTTTCTCAGTTGGCAGCAAACACTCTTGTGCAGTTTTCCTAATGTAAATGTATTAGTTCAGTGGAAAGGAGAAACCAGCCCTAAAGACATACAGACGCTCCCCGACTTATGCAAGCATTCCGTTCCAGAACACCTTGCGTAACTTGAATTTTGCGTAAGTCAGAAACGTATACCCGACAATTACGCAAAAAAAAAAAAAAAAAACCCCCAATTTTTTGTATATTAAAGAATTTTTGTAAAAGGGGCGTTTTTGCGTAAGTGGGGTTTGTGCACCGGGGGGGGGGGGGGGGGCATCTGTACCCTGCAGTTGGTTTCTACCTTAAATACCAAGGGAAATGCAAAAGGAAACTAGTTCCAATTACCTATTAAGTCTTGTACCAATCAATCCCCCACTCCCTGTAACAGTCAATTTTTTGCGGTATGTATCCTCTTTTATACATAATGGAATGATTTCACTCTGTGGCTATTTGGATGTATATTTAATTATATGTATTACTTAATTGGAATAGCTATATACATTTAGAACACTTGTAATCTTAAATGTATGGAAAACTTAAACGTTACTTTAATAGGAAACATATGGACCAATAAAATAAGGAAAATGAAGTACAAAACATTCCTTAATCCTAATCTTACTTTGAATTAGTATTAAATTTGAATCTCAAAGCACAATTGGACAATTACTACAATAGTGACAATTACTAATTACTGGAAGAACAAATTCCAAACAACATTAAAGTTTCCATTCTGAATAATATTGTTTACTAGGTTGTTCCATTCATTTATTAGTTCTTGAGTGATATGGGGGCGGAGAGGTCTTTCGTTTTCTTAAGTTTTCATTTCTGTCCCTTAGCGAAGCCTTAGGATTGTTCAGAATACTATGGTTTGGAGTAGGTACACACGTCGTCCTAATAGCTCACATTTTTTTAGTCCTGGGATCAACCTGCTTCTGTGTTTCAGGAGTGGATATCATACTCTCCTCACTCACAACCTTTTTCAGCTGTATATTCAACTGATTTGACTATATAAAGTAATAATGTGTTGACCATTTAATAGTTCTACACACTGTCTAAATATTTTCAGTCTTCCATTTAAAGTCTTTTCTTCTTAGGTAAGTGCCATAACTTTCGTATATGTTTATTACTGTTCATCTGGCTAGTTTCACACAAGTGCAAATGTTTTAGCTTTAATTGCTGATATCTCCCTAATCATAACACTCTCTCAAAATGGTCATAAGAAAATGTTCACAGTTTTGCTTGCTAGGTAATTTATATTAACTAAAACCAAAAGAAGTCCAAGTGCTAATTTTGGTTGGATTTTAATTTATACCCCCTTTTCAGAAAAAAAAAGTTATGAACATGTTTGAGCAAATTTTAGAGTATAGAAACCTGATTGACATTGACACCAATAGCCTTGTCTACATTTGAGCATTTCTACATTAAATTATGTTTGATAGCTAGGGAACAGCATAGTGTCAAAGTGAAGCACTGTTCATATACAAGTACAAATAATATAGCAATTGAAATGGAAAACAATTGAGAGCAAGTAACAATTAGTCTAAGCTTTTAGGCAGAAGTAGGTCATTTTAAATTTGCTGGATAGGTTTTGTAAATTATAATATTTGCAGTTTTAATCAACTCCCTAGGTTTCATTTGAAGATAGAAATTTGCTGCAAATAAGGTACACATCTGCAAGGTAGTTCATGTGTACATACATAACTAATAAAGATCTTCTGTGAATCAAACTTAAGTTGTTTCTGAACTCCTTAATCTGTTTAACGTATTCATAACGGTATTCAATTTAAGATTCTTCACACTGCAAATGTTACTGCTGAACAATATAGACAAGAAGATTACAATCTCTATTAATACGAGAACAGGTCAGTAAGTTCTCTGTTAAATATGATACATGAAAAGAAATTTATTATCTATAATGAATCATGAGCCTACTATTGTTTGATATATTTTGGTATATAATGTTGCATATTACAGAGCTGATCACTTTCTAAATGTGAACTTTCATATCAGCGAAGTTCAGTATCAATAATTCTTCTAGTACCGAAAAAAAGATAATCAAGGAAACTATTTTGATCTGATCTCACAGTCTGTCCACCCTAGCTAAGCTACTATAATGTCCATCTGCCCTTCCTTTAGCCACACCCATCCAGGTAGTGTCAATATCTTGATACTTACGCCTCCAAAACTTTCCCAAAAACAGACATCTCTCTCTACCAACACCACTAAAACTCTTGTGCAGGCCCTTATTTCCCATCTTAATTAGGCAACCTTCTTCTTTGACCTTCCTGACACCCACCTCAGGTCCATCAAAAAGCTGCTGATAAGGTTATCTTCCTGAGCAGTCATTCCAATCATGTCACCCTCTTCCCCTTCTTTAATTACCTCAAGCGGCTCCCCTTTCACGACCATACCAGATATACCTTCTTATCCACACTTTAAGATCCCTTATGATCCTTTCTATCTTATCT